ATATCACATGTTGACATTTTATATAAAAAATTTCCCGATAAATGTTACTGCCGCCGAACCAGAGGTCACAGGACAATATAAATTACATAATCGGACTCAGCATTGAATGGACGTTCATGCCCAATCAAAAAATCCCGAGTGCCAGCTTAGCAGGATCCTGACAGTCTTCTTTGTGTAATAAATAAATTTTAAATTAATTAAATATTGAGATATATAATTAGCTAAATTAGTAGATGTGGGCTTATATAAGTTTTTATTAATTTTATAATACTGCCTTGCTAATAACTATTAATTTTCTGAGTAGGAAATTGACCGAGAGAATAGAAAATATTTAATATTTACGGAATATACGCGGGAACGTGATAATTGTACAAGGTTGGCCAAAATACTAGATGACTCCGGGCAACACGTGGTCGCTGAAAAACTTCGAGAATATAATACACCAAGGAAAATTACTGAATTTTTAACCAAGGTAGAACTATCTGTACAAAAAGCTTCAGCAATGAGGTCAGGTCAGTCCCGGTGGTTTCCCATGGACGGCATTCCCAGGGGAAAGGCGTTAATATTTGTCAGTATTATGGAACTCCTACCGGAAGCCAATCGATTCGCCTCCATATTCGGACAGTTGTACTTCGATGTGGAGATTCATGCAATCAAATTGTGTGGACAAATGGTAACCGTTTTAAAGGATGTGTCACAGAAGGAATACCCGGATAATGCCCTCATTGTCATGTATATTGGACATGGATGTGATGAGAGGATCTGGATATCCAATGAGGAGCAGAAAAGGATTTGTGAAATTGTGGACATATTTTCTGGAAATAATTGCCATGATACATTTGATCGAAAACCTAAGATATTTATTTTTAACTGTTGCAGACATAGTAAGCATGATACAATAAAATTTTTAAATAATTCACATAAAACTCTCTTAGTATAATTAATATTTTATAATTTAATGTTTCTTACACAATATGTAATAGATTACATAATTGATTATAAAATTATTTAAATTTCACCCCGATCATTAACAGATAATATGATGGCAACCCCGATGGCAACAAATATCAACACTGAACAGAGACTACTTGTATTTGATATGTCCTCGATTGATACAAACTGGTACAATCAAAACACGCGCACCTACATTTGCTACTCGTGCGTTGAAAGTGAGTGCCACCATGCTAACTATTGTAATTTTAAAATAAATTATTGAACACAAAATTATATTTTTAAGGTGTAAATATGTGGGCTGATTTTGGCAATGGTTTTACAGTATTTGGTCAGATATTTAGCAATTGTATCGCTAGATACGCGTGTGATTGCAATTTGTTGCAAATATTTAACAAGGTAAGTGTTTAATTATAGCATATACATTTTAAATGTATCATTTTGATTTTATTAATATTAACCTGACACAATTTGTGAATATATGTAGACTTTTGAAGCGTTGGAAGAGTTGGGTCAACGGCCTGAGATACGCCAGTTCATGGTGACCAGGGACTTGTATTTTAACCCGGGTCTACCTGAAAATACTAAAAATTATATTCCT